GAAATTGTCTGTTTTCATTTATTATGTGTCCTCGTTGCAAGTGACAAAAAGTGTTTCCATCTGATTCATCCCACTGGATTTATATGCCTCATAAAATCTCAATGCAGCATTTCCCCCAGTGTATTATAAGCCTGGTGGGTCACAAGGCTTTACTTGTTCCCCCACCAGGATCAGCATTGCTTATTTATTTAAGTCTTTTTAAAATGCATTTTTAAGACTTTATAGTTGGTGTTCAAGTATTAATCTTCTAATCTTTCAATAACATGTAATTGTCAAGTTATATTTTCAAATTTCCTGTCAATCTTTAAAAAAAAAAAAAAAAAAAAAAACAAACTCAAAACACGATGGGCCACTGGATGGATGACTGGCCCAGCACCGAACAACCAGGCTTAGCAAGTTTATTGGGGGAAAACTTGAACATTGAATCAGATCTTGTCAGGAAAAGCAATGATTGAGTTGTTTTGATCAATAGAATTAGAATTTCGATCAGAGACGAGGTTTGTGTGTGACTTTTTCTTCTTGGTTGTTTTCCAGGGACCTATGGGGTGGTGTATAAGGGCAGACATAAGTCCACAGGACAAGTTGTGGCTATGAAGAAAATCCGACTGGAGAGCGAGGAGGAGGAGTTCCCAGCACCGCTGTCAGAGAGGTGTCTCTGCTGCAGGAGCTCAAACACCCAACGTTGTACGGTACGCCACCTGCAGCTGGACGGGGTGGCGGGAGGATGTGACCGCTGTGGGGGATGTGCGGCGGCCTCATGGGTCACCTCTTCAGATGCCGACATGGCTCAGATTCATCACACAAATGTTAATGGTGTTTCAGTGTCTGCTACAAATTCTTCATAAGGTTAATTATGTATCTTTACAGACTGTATCAGAGGAGGATACACAAAGAAGCTCAGCATCAGCAAAAAGCTGCTTTGCTGGTACACTGAGCTCTGAGTTCAAATCTGACAGCCTACCAGCAGAGCAGACTTTCCACAGGGTCACAGACGGTTTCTGCTCTGCTTTCACTAAAATCACTAGTGAAATAATCCTGACTTAAATGAGCTCAATAATTTCCATTTGCAGGATCCCTCCCCCCTACTTTCTCTCTTTCTACCAAAAATGTAATAAGTCTGGTGCTTTGGTCTTAACTGGCCTATTGTTTTTATTACAGAGACTTCATAATTCATTTTTATTTGTTTTCTGTTCTGTTTATTTATATTGGATATTTAAATGTCTTCCAATGTTAAATGTTCATTAGAATTGAAAGTTTGATATTTGATGATGTGTTCTTGCACTAATATGCCATTAATATTATACCACATAAAAATGGGCTCCAACAGTAAGATTATAGTTTGTTGCAATAATTTCAATAATTTAATTGGAATAATGGAATTCTAATTATTTCTGGGAGATTTATCCAGCTAAATTTATTGTGACAGGCCTACGCATAACTGTTTTATTAGCGAGGAATACCTTCGTAAAACATTTAAACTTCAAAGGTATTAGTTTATTTAACCTCTTTTTTAAAGGAAAAAATATATATATATATAAAAGTTGGTTTCTAATAATGCTGATTATCTCACTGTTGACATGAGAACAAATAGGATTCTAGAGCTGAAGTTTGGCACAAACCCAGGTTCGTGTGTATGTGTGTGCGTGTGTGTGTGTGTGCACACAGACTCCTGGACGTCCTGATGCAAGAGTCTCGTCTCTACCTCATCTTTGAGTTCTTGTCCATGGACCTGAAGAAGTATCTGGACTCCATCCCGTCTGGCCAGTACATGGACCCCATGCTGGTCAAGGTACGTCCTGACAGGCTGACCGCAGTCTGCTGTCAGTGATGCGTCTTCCTGATTGTTTGCGTCTCCTTGTCGGGTTTTCCCCAGAGCTACCTTTACCAGATCCTGGAGGGAATCTACTTCTGCCACTGTCGCCGGGTTCTCCACCGGGACCTGAAACCCCAGAACCTCCTGATCGACAACAAGGGCGTGATCAAACTGGCGGACTTTGGCTTGGCCCGAGCCTTTGGCGTACCGGTCAGGGTCTACACCCATGAGGTGAGACGCGTCGAGCGAACTGGACCCACTCTGCCTGTTTGAAGGTTTTACTCTGATCGTAAACTGTGTGCTTCCAGGTCGTGACCCTTTGGTATCGGGCTCCAGAGGTCCTGCTGGGCTCCCCCAGATACTCCACCCCTGTGGACGTTTGGAGCACCGGAACCATCTTCGCTGAGCTCGCCACCAAGAAGCCGCTTTTCCACGGAGACTCTGAGATCGACCAGCTCTTCAGGATCTTCAGGTCATTCAGCAGAGAAACTGAACAAACGGGCTGATATGACTGGAGCTGGGCGACGCATTGAGTTTACTGATTCACTATTTTTATCTTTAATTTTGGGAAATTTAAATTCTTTTCCCATGCAAATTCTTTTCTTGGGTTCACATAGTTCTGAGTGATTTGAGTTTTACAGCTTCTATTTATTTGGACTTTGAATTCAGGTCAACTCTACGACAAAATATTAGGGCCAGGCTGAGATTTCTTTCTTTATTTTTAAATTAAGAGCGTGAAGTCATAACATGAGGAGACTAAAGTAGTAATTTTATGACAACTCCCAACACAAAAAAATAGCAGAAAATTAAAATGAGCAATGTTAAGCATCTTCTGACATTATTTATTAACATTTATGTACGTATTCAGGGGATAAAAGGAAGGGGAAAATCGCTGAAAGTCGGTTCTGTATGAAAACAAAAAAATGTTATTTTTAAGCGTTGATATAACTGTGGGTCAGTTTTTATGAAAATTAACCTGCAGGTCAAATAAAATGCTGTCTGACATGAGCGTCTGGAAAGCTGGTATTTCAGGATAAAATTATTAACAACTCTTGATATTCTTGATGAATGTCTAGTTGCATTTTTTTTTTCAGAACGCTGGGAACTCCGAATAACGATGTTTGGCCTGATGTGGAGAACCTGCCTGACTACAAAAGCACTTTCCCTAAATGGAAGGGAGGAAACCTGTCGTCGATGGTGAAGAACCTGGATAAGAACGGCCTGGACCTGCTGGCGGTGAGGGCAATGGATCCCACACACACACACACACACACACACACACACACACACACACACACACACACACACACACACACACACTCCTGTAAGAATTTCAACTTGTTCCCTGTATGATAAATGATTTCAATGCTTTTTGTGTGACACACATCCTGGACAATTCAAGTGAAACGCAGGCCGAGCTGCAGTTGGATGTGTTCAGTACTGATTAAATGATATCAAGGTTGTTTAGGATTTTTCCCCAGAGCTTCTTCTCTGATAAACACATCTTCCATTTCCTCTTGGATGATACTTGACTCCATTTTCAATTCAGTTTTATGTTGTAGTGCAGATTAACAAGTATTTCAATGCACTTTACAAAAACAGGAAAAATCATAATTTATACAGTTGATTCAAGCCAGTCATACAGATTCATCCGCTCCAGTTTCATCCTACTTATCAAACAAAGCCATCCTGTTCAGTTTCATGTTCAAACTGATTCAAGTTTTCTATAAAACTTAGAAATATAATGCATAAAAATGATGTGGTCAAAATGCTCAGTTGCCTATTGATTGTACACACAGTGAAGGGCTCTATTGCACCAGTCCAGAGAGCAGCATGTCTGCAGACACTGACGGCTTGTTCCATTTGCATCATGTATTTTCTCTTTTCTACCAAAAACTAGATGATAAAAGTCTTGAGTCTGGTGCTTTGGTCTCAACTAGACTCATTCTCTGAAGGAGAATTTTGTTTAGAGGCTTCATAGTTCATTGTACTTATTGTTTCTGTTTTATTTATTTTGCATATTTTATGTTTTTCAGTTCCAGTGTTAAATGTTCATTTGAATTCTTTGACTCTATGTTCTTGCATTATTGAGCCGTTACCATTACTTGAAAATGGTCTCAAAGCATATTTATCGTAATAACTTTTTGGGATAATTTATCATCCAGCAAAATTTGTAATTGTGAAATTTTTACCGTTTTGGTCAGATCGGTTGTTGGCTGGACAATCAAATGTTTACAGCAGAGAATCTTCTGGATGCTGCTAAAGTCCCACAGTTCTGAGTTAGCATAAATAACATGGCTACCATGCACTCATTGGAGTGCTTGGACAAGCAGTCCTCTTGTTCATGTGGTACAAAGTTCAATTAGAACATGAATCCAGTTGAAGACAGAAGAAAAAACTCGATTAGGGAGAGGAATGAACATAAAGCCAGAGTCCATAGCGAGGTGACTCCTGAATCCTAATGTTTTTCTCCTTGTCCGTCTTCTCTAACAGAAAATGTTGATCTACAATCCACCAAAGAGGATCTCTGCCCGGGAGGCTCTGAGCCATCCGTACTTCGATGACCTGGACAAATCCACTCTGCCAGCTGCCAACATCAACATGTAGAAACACATTATTCTGTGAACTAATAACCTGTAAATACTTGTATGTTTGTGTGGATTTGTTGCAGACCTAAAGTTTCTAATATCTTTTCAATAAAAATGCACCTTGTGTGATTTTCTCCATTCTTTTTTTTTTTTGTCTATCTGAAATGTTTTGGGGTTTTTTAATCCCTTGTGGGTCAAATTCTACTTCTGTTCGGCTCTACCAGAATCTATGGACATACCCAACCTTGAGATGGCTCTGTTGAGCTAGAGGAGGTATATTCATTTTTTTTATTTCAGAATATCTGCAGAATCACCAAATGATACAAGACTGATTTTTATGCTACTTGCTTAAAGAGGTTTTTTTCCTTAGATTTCCTTCAGTTAAGCCAAAACTGATTAATACCCGACTGACTGATTTAAGGTGAAAATAACCCGACCTCGGATAAGCGGCATAAGATGGATGGATGGACTGTGGTGTACTGCTGTTTCATCTAAAGTTATGAATGATTCAAGGCAGAGCAGTTAGGAAACATGCTGATTTCAGAGAGAGGATATTTATTTATTGATACAATATTGAGAAGTTCTAGTTACAAGAAGTTCCACCATTAAAAAATGAAGCAAGTTTGATCATCTTGTCCTTAATCGTTTTCATCAGCATCATCCAGCAGAAACTTACTGATCTGCTCTTTCATTGCAGACCTGCAGAAGATGAAGGTGAGAACTCATGTGTACACTAGTAAGCAGAATAAAGGTCTTTAGAGTTCATTACAGTGGGCTTTTACCAAAACAACCAACAATCAAACTCATACTGGATTACATTTCCTAATGATGGAAATAAGGCAACAATGCAGCCAAAATACTTCAAAACAGTTTTGGAAGGTTATAGCCCAGAATGATCAGATGGATATTCAGTTATTAAAAGGATTAATTTGATAAGTGTACTTTATAATAATTGATGAGTGACTGAAGTGTGGGTTTAAAGTATTTGATCATCTTGTACCGAGTGTGAAGGCTGAATGTCTCACCGGTTTTGTCTCCTCTGAGTCTCTGACAGGACATACTGAGGGAGATGAGTGACTGAAGTCTGTGAGGAAAACAGAAGAAATGGGCTGAAAAAAGACAACGCTTTTAAATATACTTTAATGTATCATTATGGAAATCCTGGTACTTCAGGAAAATCCTCCTTCCTGCATAGAAATAGGAAACGGAGACCAGACCAGCACATTTCTGGATCTTTAGTTCTTTTACAGAAGCAGGGTTTCCTCCCAGTGTATTATAAGCCTGGCGGGCCTCCAGGCTTCACTTGCCCCCCCCCACCAGGCTGAGCATCGTTTCTTTGTTTTAAATAGGATTTTTAATACATCAGTAATGGTGACTGTAAAGACAGATTAAGCTAAACTTATAGCTAGTTCTGTAGTGTCTGTGGCTCAGTGGGTAGATTAGTCATCTTGTAATCAGGTTGTAGTCAATATGCCCCTGGGCAAGGCACTTAAAACCAAGATGCCTACCAGTCTGCACATGACTGAAAATGTGCTGTATGAGTTCAGACCATTTGCTATATAGTTGACTCTTTCAACTGGGCTTTAGATGGTGAGAATCAATTTCCCCGTCCCTTTAATGTTTTTATTCACCTCCAGATTTTTTAACATTTCTTATTCTTACTGACCCTACCACCTCTACCAGGCGTGGCAAGTTTTCTGGGGGAAACTTTGGAAAAGTACAATCTCCATTTGGTTCACCAATTAGGGGACAGAGATGACCAAACAGAACTTACATCAGGTTCCTAAACTTCATGGGACAGTTTCCACTCACCATGTCTCTGACAGTCCGTCTGCAGCTGTAGCACAGCAGGCTCGTCAGCTCAGTGGCCTCATGGTCCCTGGAAGACAAAGAGCCCACAAGAGGGCAGCACAGAGCGTGTTTTGGTGCTTCTAAAGTGTTGCAAACTGCCTCGTCCCTGTCCCTCAATAACTTGAACAGGCTGAGGAAAAAGGACAGAGACCTGATTCTGCATCCCAAGTGTCCCTCCTGTCCTGGTGGTCAGATTTTAGTAAATAATCAACTTTTACCTTGAAGACCTACAGCAGTCACTAGCCCCTCCTGACCCTCTACAGGGACTTTCAGAGGAGCAACACTGTCCAACAGTAGAAGGTGGTTCTGGTTTCACTGGAACTGTTGGAAACAAGGACACAAAAAGTCATAGGACTGATCTGACTGCTCCCCAGAAGACCAGAATGGTCCCCAGAAATGGCACCTGCTCTACGATCAGTAAGAGCATCTCAGGTGATCTGATGGAATACCTCACCTGAACTCTGAGAGAGCTGCTCTGAAATAAGCGTGGCCTGGAGCGCTGAAGCCTCTTCTGAAATCAGGAGAAAACACAACTTCACTGATTGGCAGCGGAGAGCCAGAGCTCTGTATAGAACCTGGAAGCCGTTTTGAGTTTATTTCTTTCCTCTGGGATGAACATTAAACATCTACATCAGACAGCATGGATATTGATTTGAAAAAGGGACGTAGACATGATGTTCAAGCTGAGCCTCAAGTCAGTGGTTCCATTTGAGCATCTGATCCCCAAAATGTCTGAGCATGCCACTGCTCTGCAGAGCAAGATGTACAAAGTTACAGTGTTAACGGAAGACATGCTGCCGCTGTGACTCACCAGCAGCAGTGTCCAGGCCACACACACACAGCACACACAGCGCTCGGCGGTGGAGGCTCCTGCCTGCCGTCTGCAGCTTCTCCCCGGTCCTGAAAACACGGTTCAAAGGTCAAGCTGTGATTCTGCCTTCATCAGTCCAGATTTTGCTCCGTTTGTGTTCTCTCAGCAAGGAGACGTTTCAGCTCTGCTGTCTGTCATTCTCCGCTCTTCTTCACACACTTCACTGACAAAGGTACAAACTCAGAGCTCCTCCACGTCCACAGGTGGACAGCTGTTTTAGTCAGTGATCTCATAACACTGGTTAAAAAAATACTAGTTACAAGACATTTTTCCAATGTTATGAGTGAAAGTTTCAACTTTTCTGAAAAGTTATCGGTGCTTGTAAGTTAGTTTTGTTTTATTTCAAAATATTTGAACTAAAAACCAGAGCAGAAATACTTGGTGAGATTTAGTGTTTGTGCAGTGCAGCGATGCTGGACGTCCGTCCAGACTGACCGGTAGATTGTGCTGACAGTGGAGGGGAAGTCGGCCTGCAGCGTGGTGACGAAGCTCTGGGTCAGGCGCTGGATGCTGGCCTTGTCCGGTGTCTGGAGGGAAGAACATGTCTGCCTCAGGTAATCGGGACAGAAACAGAGCCGTCCTGTTCTGAAGCAACAAGAGGAGAGCGACGGTGACCAGATGGTTCCTCACCTTTGTGTCCAGGTTTGGAATGACAACGGATGGAACCTTGAACATATGATTGTAGAAAGCTATTTCTTTAGCGGAGTATTCCCTCATGGGTCTCACTACTGTTACATCACCGTATCTGCAGTCAGAGAAGCCCTGGAAAAAACTAAATCAGATATGTTCCATCTAAATAGGTCGGATAGGAGCCGCTGGGCGTGTGGTCTGCCCCGGTACGCACCGTGTCCTGGGCCAGCTGGGCTCCTCTGCCCAGTGAGATACTGGTGATCAGCTTCACAGCCAGTCTGGTGCAGCTGTCTCCCAGCATGAGCTTACTGTAGCCTCTGGTCCGAGCCGTGTGCACCAGCAGGTGCTGCCTTTAGGAGGAAAGTCAGTCAGGCCACCGTGTGTTTCACCGTCAGTAAAACTATCTATTGTTGATTGTTGCTTCAACAAATAGAGGGCAGAGAACAGAACATGGAGATGTTGCACGATCCGCACCATCAGCTCATCTGCGCAATAGCTAATCTAATTACAAATGACCAATAATAGAAGGTATACAGTGCAGCCTAGGACTAATGAAAAATCTGCATTTGCTGTGGGGGGCCTCGAATTACAATCAGATTAGGGCCCCAGGGTCGGCCCTGATCCCAATTGCCTATTGACTTATAATCTTTGAACTAAATTATGAGAGTTATTATTCAGTCAACAATAACAACATTTTCTAGGAAAATAAGCCGCCTAATAACAAGTAATATTTTAGTAAACATAAACGTGTTACACTTTGCTGATGTAAATTTTAAGAAGAATTCCAGGTGATCCAACCTGAGTGTGTTCAGCAGGTCTTGTTTGGCTGTCAGGGTTTGAGCTGAGCCAATCAGCTGCTGCAGCAGCCGTGTGACTCCCGAAACAGCAGGCGGCGACACACACTCCTGCTCCTCAGCCTTTCTGTCAGCTGCCGCCGCCGCCGCTGCACGAAGACATCCACAGCTGCTTTGTAGGCGGAGCCTGGTTGGTCTGACGGCGGTGAGGGAGTCAGGACGGATCCAGGGAGGTCCAGAACCTGGAAGGAGGGATGAAAACGACACTTCACAATTCATTTTATTTGTTATTTCTGTTGTTCTGTTTATTTGTTTTGGATATTTAAAATGTCCTCCAGTTCCATTGTTAAATGTTCATCAGAATTGAAAGTTTATTGATCTTTGAGAATGTGTTCCTGCCTTATTAAGCCATTACCATAATATTACTTGGAAATGGTCTCTAAACAACAACATCATCTTTTTATTGCAATAACTACTGGAGCAATTTAATGTCCAGCAAAATTTGTTATGCTGACAGGCCTATCTGTAATCGTGGAAACAGGTCTGTCCCTGCGCTCAGACTGACCTGCTCCAGAGGAAGGATGCAGAAGGGAAAACCAGTTGATCTGAACATATCACACAGCTCAGATGTTGTTTTCTGTCTCATCTCATTAGGCTGGCCAAGAGCGCCACCCTCTGGAAACACACACACGCACACACACACACACACACACACACACACACACACACACACACACACACACACACACACACACACACACACACACACACACACACACACACACACACACACACACACACCAAAGAAGATGCGTCTAACAGATTTCCTTCAGCCAGAGAGGAAGTAACTGGAGTTACAGAAATGATTTCATTTACCGTCGATGTAAACGATCCCAGGGACGAAGCGCAGCTTTTTATGAGCGTTCTGACTCACACCCTGAGAGGGAGACACAGCATGACATTAACACCGGTTACACACTTCAGTTTTTCACCTAAAACAGGAAAAATGTTGAAAAGTTTTAAGTGAAGAAATCTCCCAGTGGAACTATTCGTTTTATCTATATTTAATAATTATTGACTTAAAACAAGCACCTTTGTCTTGCTGAAAAGTTACTGATTTTGTCTCATTTCAAGTACACTAAAATATTTGCAATAGAACTAGATAAAGATTTTTGGTAAGACTGAGTGTTTCTGCAGTGCAGTGACAGGTTCATGTTGAGACTGGAATATTCATGGGGTTCGATAACTATACATTAATATATCTGTTTGCAAACGCCACTGTTTCACTCTGGAACTGGTTTCTGGAAAACAGTATTACGGGGACGCTTAAGTGGTGGGTTCATGTTGACGCAAACCTGGAATAATAATAATAATAATAAACTAATCCAGTCAGAGCCTAAAACTCCTGCGCTGACAGGACAGTGAGAAGAGCGGCTGGATGCAACGATACGACCCGGTTTCACTCAGCAGGCTGGCTGACATGTTCACACCTCTTGGACTTGGCTGAGCATTGAGCAGGAAGAAGGACCCCCGGAGACGGCCAGCAGCACCTGCAGACAGAGGGGACGCTCAGAGTTACGACTTCCACTGAACTCACCACTACAGCTGCCAGAACGCATGGAGTTTCCAGCTCAGTTTGGACCCACTGGGTTCTGCTGGTACCCTCCAGATGTGAGAGGAGGCGTTATGGTTTTATACACGTCTAGGGAACATTTTCTATATCTTTCATCATCATCAATGTTGTTGCATATTAATAGAAGCTAAACATGACATTCAAACTAATTAAAACGTGTGTGTGTTAGTCATTAGAAAACCCGACTCAACAGGTCTGACCTCAGCCAGTTCAAACCTAATCACTGCCTTCGTGCCATTTTCTTTTTCCAAAGTTTTTTGGTGGATGGAATGAAGAAACAATTCTGGCTTTTAATAATAATAAAAATAAAAACATCTTCTTGACGAAATAGAAGAACTGGATTTAAAACCATCCAGAGTCAGAGTTGGTGACCTCCTCACCTTCTCTCCAGGGAAGATGACCCGGGTTTTACCCAGCATGGCTCTGAACTTGTGAATGAAGCTCTCTCTGAAACAGTTCCTGGAAGCAAGGAAGCAGGCAGGAAGCACAACAATTTCAAAACTTTTCTCATTGACGCGAGCAACATCTGTCTAACAGATCACAATTATTATGATAAACGGCTGCAGATTAAATCAGTTTACAGTGATCCAAGCTGCGTCACTTACTCTCAGTCTTATGTAAACCTCGTTTTCACAGTGCCACGCTGGCTGAGTGATGCTGCTGTCCTACCTGCAGTATGCATCTCCTGCTCTGATGACCACAGCCGCCAGCTCCTCTTTGCATTTGACACATTTTTTCGAAGCACTGACAACAGAGAGAAAAACTGTGTTTGGTTAAAGAAGTTACATAATAAAGTGTTTTAGAAACACAGTAAAATACCACACAGAGTGGAGCAAATAAACAATCCATCTTTTTAACATTTGCCTTTGTAATGTCAGTCACAGTTTCTGGAAATCATATATCAGACAGAGACCTAAAGAGGCACTGCAAAAGCAAATGAGGTGGATAAGCAGTCAGTTATCAGACAGTCATCCAGGGCTTGTTACTGTGAGATCCTGAATTAAATGTTTGGCATAATTACCTAATAACTTCACTCTCCTGACTACAACGTCTGATACTAATATTTCTAACATCAGCCAAAGATGACCTCAGAAAATATAAACAATATTTATTTCGTTTAGGAACAAAAACAGATTGCAGAAACTTCCCTGTTGGTCCTTTTATGTGAAATGCTTGCGGCTCCGTTCACCACATGACTTCCTGCCCGTTAGAAAACATTCAACTCGTCTCACAAAGTTTCTGCAGCGTCACTGAAAAGCCAAACACCGTCTTTAAACGCCGGCGTTTTCCGTGCTGTGCTCTCCAGACGCGTGGAGGTTCACGCCGCCTACCTGGGTGGGTCCACGCGCTCCAGCTGCTCGTGGTATTCTTCTTCCACCTGACACATCGCTGCGCGGAGGGACGAGACGCGTTTCCAGCTCGGGTCTGAACCACCAAGGATCAGAGCAGGTGGTTCTGCTTCAGATGGGAGGTTTACAAACAACCACAACTCCGACTACAGGCTCTTCTTTCTTCTTCTGTTGGTTTTCCTCAAGATTGTAAACCAGCTCGTGGTGCAACACCACCACCTAGTGGACTCAGGGTGAGGCAGCAGGCGTGTATAAATAAAGGAATACCATTTTCATATGCACCCACCATGATTTTCACGACATGTAATTAAATTAGTTTCATATTTGTTCTCTTTCAGTATTAAGTTTTCCTGTATTTTGTTAGTGTGTCAATGTAAAGGCAGATGTTTTGAAGCAAAATAAAACAGCTTATTTGCCTTACAGGTACAGCCTCATAAATATATTGGTGCCCTTTGAACCTTTTTCATTATGTCACATTACACCAGAGGTAGGAAGTCATCACAACATCTCTCCTCTATTAACCCTTCAACAATGTTTTTGTTTCAACTTTGCACAGAGAAGTAGCTTGTATACAGAGTTCAGCAGATTCACAGTTCTGCCAGGTATTTGCTAATTGCTGCCAGCTAGTCTAAAGGGACTGAGTTGCAGGGTAGAGCTGCTCTGTGAGGCGGAAGCTCAGCCTGGGGACTGCAGCTCTGAGGAGGAGGAGCTACACCTCGGAGGAGGAGGGGCAAGATCCAACCACGTGTTTTGCGCAGGGAGATTCAATGATTTTTCAAACATGCAGAATCAAGCCAACACTCTGGGTTTGTTTTTGACAAGGGAATAACATTATAAGATGATATAGGCTACAAAAAAGGGTACATTTTTCACAATACTGCCCCTTCAACAACAATTGCAAATATTAGTTTTATCTGGTACTTTGTATTGGCTAAAGTTGTAAACAGAGCATAAGGCTCTTAGTTTGGAGCCAGTAATGTAAAACTATTATATGAGACAGAGTGGACACATTGGACAAAGGACGGGCTGAAGCTCAGAAGTGACCCCGATGTTTTCTGCCTGCTGTTTCTGGGTGAACTGCTCTGTGGGATTGCAGTTCCTCGGATCCTCCTCCTGCTGCCAGCGGATGAACTGCGGGACTTCATCTCCCAGAAGGCTGAGCGCGCGAAGCGCCACGGAGGAGCCTCGCGAGCAAAGCGCTTCTCTCGAGCCGTCAGCGCTGATCTCACAGCCATCTGGATGCAGCATTCCCCGCGATCCACACGCTTATGGGTCGAGGGTTTTAATTGAGGTCAAGCATCACAGCGTCGTGCTTTCAGTCGCCTGCGAGCGCTGCTTCCAATGTTTACTTCTCTGGCATGTCTTCTCCAGCCAGGGGGAAGTAAAGCTGAACAACACAGGAGACGTTTCTCTCGTTTGTTTTATTTTATTTTTTAGAAAAAACCGTAGTAGAGGGACCCTTCCCCCCGACATCTGTAACGGAATATGCACCAGCTAGTTTGAACTGTTATTCCCTGGTGAGGCTTTTGTCGACAACTGCGGCTCCTCTTCGGCTCCATGATGGCGATGTTTCGGAGCTTTGTGTCGGCGAGCACCCAGTTCCGTCAGCAGCAGCAGCAGCAGCAGTCCAGCAGCGGCCCCGGCCCGCTAGCAGCCCCCCCTGAGGGCGTAGAGAGCCAGTTCTCCTGTCCCATCTGCTTAGAGGTTTACCACAAACCCGTCAGCATCGCCAGCTGCGGACACACGTAAAGTACCCCGCTCTTCTTTCACTGTCTGAGGCCAGATGTCTCCACGGTCACTGGCCGCGTTGTTTGTGGTCCAAACATTTCGTCACGTGGCTTCAACAAGTCCCAGAGTAGGTTCTGATAGAACCGGGATGAGCGCAGGATGACAAACCCTCAAATACAGCAGAGACTCTTGACTATTGCTACTGAGCAATGAGCTCTGGTTAATAATAATGATAATAATAATAATAATAATTAATAATAAAATGTCTGAAACATAGTTTACCTTTGCAGCAATCTCCCCCCCCCCCAAAAACAAAAACAAAACAAAACACAAAAAAAAAAAACTAAAGTGACTCTGATCTCTAATTCACATTATGGCTTAATAAAACAATAACAATACCAGTAGTCAGATTCTACTGAGTTTAACTATCAACCAAAACAGAGCCATAACCAAAACATATTAGAATTAGGTCTGTCAATTAAATAATAACTAAAAACTAATTTAATCATTTTCATTTCTGTTTTCTCTCTTTCTACCAAAATTGCATCACAAAAGTCTCCAGTTTGGTGCTCTGGCCTCAACCAGAACCAGCCCTATTTTGAATAACAATTTTGTTTATAGATGTCATTCTTAATTTTATTTGTTGTTTTTCTTGCTTTTTTTGTTGTTGTTATTATTTTGGTAATTTAAAATGCCTCCCAGCTCCAGTGTTAAATGTCCATTAGAAGTTTATTGATCTTTGAGAATGTGTCCTTGCATAATAAAACGCAGACGCCATAATAATACTTCAGAAGGATCTCAAAACAACAATACTTCATCGCCAAGCAAAATGTGTTATTGTGACAGGCCTGTTTGGTCACCACTTCTGATTAAAAATAAGTCATTCTGCCACCACTTAAGTAAATTAGCCGCTCATTGTGGTTGCTATTAATAGTGATATTAGTAGCATCGTTATTATCTGCTTTATTCCGAGCAGATTTTGACTCAGGATCTGTTTATTTAGCATCAGAATACAATTTCATAATTCAAATGTCTTTTTTTATGGATTTTTTTTAAAGAAAGAAAGCATAACAAAGTTTAAAAATAGCAACTCTAAAAGGTAAGTCAAATACATTAATAAAATAATAATAAATAAGTATATCTCAATAACTTTAAATATATATCTTTGCTCCTCTTCATTGTATCTACACATGATAACATTGACCTTTTCCAAATATTAGCTTTAACACCATAATATAATTGTTCTTTGCTCATTTTATTTTGATTTTGTCTGATATTCTCATCCTTCTTGTGTTACTGCTGTTGTTTTTATTATTACCACCATTTTCCCCTTTTTGATTAAATAAGCCTAATTTAATTCATATTCATCTTTGCTAGCATTAATACTATGTTTCTGTTACTATGATTTGTGTTTGTGGAGCAAGGAAAGATATAGAGATAATCTCTTCATTCAGATATGATGCTTTGTATATGAATCATTATAAAGTATCCTCATTTAACATGCCTTATTGCCATAGTATTACTATACTCAGTATGGCATTGTACCTGCAGTAATAAAAAAAGGTTACATATACACAATGAACCAAATCAGCTAAAAATGTCTCCCACATTCATGCCGGCACAAATATAGCTTCATGTTTTATGTGTCAGTATTCTTCTTTTTATATTTTTCTGGCTCGCTCAGAATAATTCTGCCTTCATAAAGATGAGAGAAGCTCCTCGATGGGACCGGATATTCAGAACCGTGGCTGTAGTTTCGGGTTTCCTTCATCTCATAATCTTCAAATTGCTTGTTGGGGTGGCGGGGAATGATGCTGTCACGGAAACTTATTTATAATGCACTTTTGTCACTGAATTTGTGAATGGTTTTTTTTATGAAACCATTAGTCACAGAACACAAACGTTTTTTGCTCTTGCATTAAGCTGTGCTGCTGCAGGATTTAACTGTGATACAGATGATTTTGAAACCTCTGTATTGCAGTTCTTTCTATGTAGGAAGCTAACAGCAGAGATTACAAGTGTTCTTGTAATCGCTGTCAGTGTTGAACTTTGACCCCCTAAACACCATCGTCACCTTCCATCTGTGCTTTCTTATTATTTGTGAGGATGGACAATTGCCACATTTCACATGGAATGTGGCAATCTTTCATAAGATCAGGAAATGGATGACAACTCTTTTTAAATAAAAAGGTTAATATTAGAATGTCACAGATATAAAAATAAATCTAAAAATGCAAATTTCTCTGAGATTATCAGTAAACTCGTTTTATTTCAATTGGACTGAATCCAGTGTGCAACACAGTAGCTCTGGGTGAAGCCCATGAGCTGATGTCTCTCGTCTTTGTCTTTTAGGTTCTGTGGGGAATGTCTGCAGCCATGTCTTCAGGTGGCCTCGCCCCTCTGCCCTCTTTGTCGTGTGCCCTTTGACCCCAAAAAAGTGGAGCGCTCCTCCAATGTGGAGAAACAGTTGGCCTCCTACAAAGCCCCCTGCAGAGGCTGCAGCAAAAAGGTCCAGAATAGCTCCTCCATGTTAAAGAAGTCATCTCATTGGTCCTTAGGTCACCGGAAATCTCTCCATGAATCACTGATGATGTTTTGTTGACCATCTTTTCTGACTGACATGCAGCTGATCTCATCATTTCAGACATGCAGGTAACAATATCGGCTCTGTTGACAGGTGTCTCTGGTGAAGATGAGGTCCCACATTTCCTCGTGTTCCAAAGTACAAGAGCAGATAGCCAACTGTCCCAAGTTTGTCCCTGTGGTCCCCACATCCCAACCTATACCAAGGTACACACGTGTTCTCACACAGTTTTGTGTTTCATTCGATGGTTCAGGAAGCATCTGTTCTTCTGAGGAATGATTTGACTTTTTTTGTGTCTTTCGCCGTGTAGCAATATTCCAAACCGGTCGACGTTTGTATGTCCGTTCTGTGGGGCCAGAAACTTGGACCAGCAGGAACTCGTGAAGCACTGTATGGAAAACCACCGCAATGATCCCAACAAAGTGGTGAGGAGACACTCTAGATGGAATTTGATTGGCTGCTTGAGGTTAGATGCCAAATCCCCCCAAAATAAAAAAAAGGATGATTCTTCTAATCTGGTAGGAATGTTGGACATTAAACGGTGTTGGACGAGTCGTTCCAACCAAATGTGCTGCTGTGAACTTTATATCAGCTGGTCCAGTAAGCTGACCGGATGGCGCTCATGTTTTTGTCCCTACAGGTGTGCCCGGTGTGTTCAGCCATGCCATGGGGAGACCCCACCTACAAAAGCTCCAACTTTCTGCAGCATCTTCTTCACAGACATAAGTTCTCATACGACACCTTTGTTGTAAGTCCAGTTCTATATAGTTATAGAATTGATTAATAAATTACAATTATCAATGTTAAATAAAAAATAAAACAAAAATGTACTTTTTTTTTCTCCACAGTGTATCAATAAATATCAGTAAATTCTAAAATATGATTAAATTCAGTTACTGTGTGTAATTTAGTGATATAAATCTCACTTGTATCAGTAAACAATCTCATAAAGAAGCATATTTCAAATGGGAATGTTTTTCAAGAACAGCTTTTTTGTTTGTGGCGCGATGAAAGCTGTGCCAAAAATGTATCTAAGAAAGACATAATAGTTTTTTGTTTTAAATTATCATAATTGTTATCGTTATCACAATAGTACCACAAAGTATCTGGATAAAATTCAAAGTCCATCTCGTCCCCTGGTAGTTAACAGACTTGATCTGTTCTTATCACATTCAGTTGTTGCTTTTAAACATCATTGCAGATTTATGTTATATAATAATTCCAGACAGCATCAAAAATCACCACTGAACATGAGATTTGAACTTCTGACTGGAGCTGTGTTTCCACTATGGATGTGCACAAATCTTTGTTGATATTCTACTAATTAAAAAATAAAAAAACACACAATTTGGCAATTTTGAAGTTTTTGTCTTTGCGTTATTGTCAGAAATTCACAGTCTTTTAGTTTTAGGAATGACACAAAGTGTTTCATGTTGAGCAAAGTTCCTAGCAGCAGCTGACAGCTGTTGTGTCTGTTTTCTTTGTCAGGATTACAGCATTGATGAAGAGGCAGCGCTTCAGGCAGCTCTGGCACTGTCACTGGCTGAAAACTGACATCGGACCCCGCTCTGTCCTCTCCACTCCTCTGCTGTTCTTCCACGGGTCAGAACCTCTCAGACGTCACATGGAGGCACCTGACTCGACTGTATGATAAAACTGCAGCCAACTTTAAATAATAACCTCACTTCTTTCTCCTGGTGTAGCAGAGCACTTTCATTTTATTCCAAAACAAAAGCAGCGTGACCAATCCTCACTGCGCCGTATGGATTTAACGGTTTTGAGGGCAGGTTGGACCGTAGGTCCGGAGTGGATCCAATTCCCACCCGGGAAAAACTCACACACCTTGACCGTTGCAAGCCCCCTCATCTACGGTTTGGAAGCAGTTCATCAGATCCCGTTTGGGCCTCTGCAGCATGAAGGGCTACCTCCTGGGAAAAACCTGCTGCTGACTCTTAAGGCCTCCTCTGTGGTCCGGCTCCCGGACCAGATGCACCGATCCACGAAGGTAGACACTGTGAGTAAGCTGGCCTCGGTTTCTGCTCCTGCACTGATCTGGACGGAACCTTTGGCTACCCATCAGCAAGATCTAACAAGCATCTGCACAAATCCATGCATCTCCTCAAAGACAAAACCCTGGAGGTGATTCTTCAGCAGCATTGTCAGGCTGCAGTGGATCATTCACACAAAAACGGGACTTTTTATGTGGCTCGGAAGTGAGATTATTTCATTAGACTTGCTTTTTATCCCATCCATGTTGCTGTTCACAACATGTTTTATGGTTATGATCAGTGATCAGTGCACCCACCACCCCTGACTGACCTGATAGTAGTTTTACCGTTTTGATTATGAGGCAGACGCCTGGCAGAAAGTTACACATTTCTTTTCTTTTTGCTTTTTTTGTCCCAATTAAAAGTTTCAGATCATTATAAAAATATGTTGGACATCAATAATCTGAGTAAATTTGAGAAGCTATTTGAAATGTTGATTTCAATCCTAAAGGACAGAAGTTCCTTTAGGATTGAACCTGGACCCATGTGGAGAAGTAATGACTCCAGCATACTGGGTTTTATTTAGTACTTACAATACAGTCACATGAAAGACTAAAAAAGGTACAAAAAGTCCCAAAGTGCATCAAAAAAAAAAAACATCTAAGTCAATAACATCAAAAAATTGTCAGAAACAAATTTTGTAAAGGATTTAAAGGTAGTTTCAGATTAAGTAATCCCGAGTTAGCTGGCACAGTGTTCTGTAATCTAAGGGGATTTAATAGCCAACAAGGATCACAACGTCCAGCCCGGGAAGAGTCACAGGTTAAACACGGTTTAGAAATCCAGACAGGATTGAAGTGGTTGTCCCACATACAGAAAGATCCCAGTCATTTATATGTGAGATTGTACAGATACAAACTCCAATCAGGTGTCAATCCCATGTGTGTTTAAAAACCAATTCACTTTAAGAACCTCTAAAATAGAACATTATATTGTCTACATTAGGGTAATGACTGCGTCCTGCTTTACGCACAGTGCCATCAGGTTCTCTCCATAGTATCCAACATTTTTGGCGCAAACAATTCAATTTCCCACAACAAGAGCGCCCCCTGGAGTCCGAATGCCAACAGGAACGTTGAGGCTTGCCAAGCAGCAGTGACTTCAAATATCCAATGTGGCTGCTGGGGGATGTAGTGATGCCGAGCCGGCCAATGAAAATCCTTCATTTGCACCTTCTACAGGTTATGCCTGTAAGAAGTGCATCCTAACTTCTGTGCAACCTCTATTTATGAACATGTTACTTTAGTTTTTTTTTTTTATATACATTTGGTCACAAAGCTAATGGTAGTTGGCACTAAAAATAAACAGCAAATCTTGCTGTTTTGTTGAATTGTAACAGGTGCGGCATCATTCCCAACTTGTGTCCTGGGATAAGTTTCTGCAGGACACACGGCTCCAATTCACCTCTAATTATCTTGAAATATTTTATGTAAATTATCCAAAAACAGTCCGAACATAGTGACAGATTAGATTTAGTGACAGTCCCATCTCATCCCAAATGTGACACCAAACAGTCTGATATGAATTTTAATGCCATTCAGTTGGTCAGGTGTTGTTGCTAACGCCTGACTGACACAGGTCTATTGGCAAAGAGCCATTCCTCGTGGAATAATATTACTAAAAGGTATTGAACAAGCATGTGGAGTTGGCAGAAATGAACAACTCTCCTTTAACAGGAGGAAACCAGAACCAGACCCAATAAGATCATCTCTGGAAACCTGCTGGGGGTTAGAGAAGATATAGAAAATACAGAAAAACAGCACTTTTCCAGTCTGAATATGTACAGATGTCAGCTGTTGTCTGTCAGAACAGACAGTTTTGCTATACTTAACAAACTTCATACATCAGTTTCATACACAGCTACAGTTTAACCAGTAGATGTCAGTCTTTTCCCAGCCATACATATTCTGTACTGAATATGAGCTACACATAGGTCTTGTAAATCCAAATCCGCACAATAACCTGATGTGGATAAGTTAAAAGATGGACAGATGGGTGCTACTTGTATTCTAAATATTTCAGTTTTCTTATTTTGGTCACATTAATATGTACCTTTGTGGAGTTGGTTGTCACCTGCAGGCTGGATGTTTGTAAAGCTGCTGCTGAGGGTTGTGGAGCCTCTAGACTTTGGAGAAAATATTTGTTGTTTTGTTTTTGTTGTTTTACTTCATGTGGGTGATGATTGATTGATATGTGTCATTATGACAAAAGTTGGACAACCAATTCAGAAATCTGCCAATAATTAACAGTTGACCAAGAAAGGGCATTACGTTTGATATAGAAACGTCCTTCACATTCTAAGCAATACCACTTTGCTGTTATGTAGAGACAGAAGAAAAATTAGTGTCTCAAGAATCTGAGCTCTTTTGGACTTTTCATTGTCACTGTTTGTTTTATGTTCTGGGAATAATCCTCCAGACTGATATTTTTCCTGAAACTGTTCTTTTTTTGTTGTTTGTTTGTTTCTGTACTATGTTACCATGGGAAACAGATTATGTATCAAATGAGTCCTCCCTGATCTGATTTCAACATACTTATTGTCATAGCTAAGCTGTCTGTTAGATTTATCTCTTCTATACTGAGAACACACTGTATTGCTTACGAGTCTAAAAAACAATTTCTGGAAATTAATTTGGTCCACTTTTATTCTTTTGAATAAAACTATTTTACAATCCAGTCATTTTATGTGTATCTCATCCAGTTCAATTCTAAAATCTTTTCACTAAGTCCCTGAGTTCAGCTGGATGGCAGAAACCAGTGGAAACTTCAGAAACGCTGGAACTGGATAACAAGGAAAAAAAACAACTTTCCCTCCCATGAGGAATCTGACAAAAGAATAAATGCTGGCAATTATAATTACAGACATGCAAAGAACCCAGTCATGCTCATGGAGAACAAGCAAACCCTGTGCATAAAGAACCCAGGCCAGGATTCAAACCCAAGATCACAAGTTTTTTCACTTTTCATAAAAAGTGAAAAAAAGTTTTCATAAGATATATCATATGGATATATCATATCCATATAATTTTATATGGATATGAATTTTTTTCCTTCGAAAAAATTTATTGTTACATGGGACATTTTAAAAACATGGCATTTATGCTGTTATACAGAAAATCTTTTTCATTTTTTTTTAATAGATACAATTTCATTAATTTAAGTTAAACTAAAAGCAGGTAAGAACAAGGATAAAACTCATCACAGTTAAAAGTTGTACAGGACCGGGGTGACTCCCTCAGAGTCATCCCGTCCTTCCAAACAGCGATGGCGCTCAGCGGGGGTCCTGCCCTGGTGCTCCTTCCCGCCTGCCTCACCCGGAGAGCCAGGCCGCCGTGAAGCTCCGGCTCCTCCGTCCACGGAGGCGCAGGCGATTCTTCTTAATTCAGGACTGTTTGGAAATCCATGAAATGGTGCAAAGAGCCCATATACTATGCAGTGAAGTTTCCCGCTTGGCCTTCTGACATGGACGTCGTTTCTTCTGGAACTGGACCCTGTATGAAGCTCTTGAAGCTGTTTTCCTCTGTTGCGCCTCGTCAACCCGCTCTGCCAGGCCCTGTACCTCTGTGGCAAAACTGTCCAGCTTACCGTTGATCTCATGTCCCAGATGGTCAATGTTTTGTTGTAGCTTTCATTATCCCCCGTCTACTCAGTTTGCTTCACCTGAAGTCATGTTGTTTTTAAAAAAATAATTATTCATTTAACCTAATGATAGTCAGTTCTGATTGCAAAAACAATAATATTTTCTAATAACAATGTACTTGCCCTGATTCTCTGCATTTAACATACATACAGTCATATGAAAAAGTTTGGGCACCCCCATTAATCTTTATTATTGTTATTTCTAAATTTGGGTGTTTGCAACGGCTATCTCAGTTTGATATATCTAATAACCGATGCACACAGTTATATTTCAGTACTGAAATGAGGTTTATTGTAGTAATAGAAAATGGGCAATATGCATAAAAACTAAATTTGACAGGTGCAAAAATTTGGGTACCCTTATCATTTAATTGATTTGAATACTCCTAACTACTTTTCACTGACTTACTGAAACACAAAATTGGTTTGGCAACCTCATTAAGCTTTGAACTTCATAGCCAGGTGTATCCAATCATGAGAAAAGGTATTTAAGGTGGCCGATTGCAAGTTGTTCTCCAGTCTGGATCTCCTATGAAGAGTGGCATCATGGGCACATCAAAACAACTCTCAAATGATCTGAAAACAAAGATTGTTCAACACAGTTGTTTAGGGAAGGATACAAAAAGTTATCTCAGAGATTTAAACTGTCAGTTTCCACTGTGAGGAACATAGTAAGGAAATGGAAGACCACAGGGACAGTACATGTTAAACCCAGAAGTGGCAGGCCAAGAAAAATATCAGAGAGGCAGAGAAGAAGAATGGTGAGAACTATGAAGGACAACCCACAGACCACCTCCAAAGACCTGCAGCATCATCTTGCTGCAGATGGTGTCACAACAATTCAGCGCACTTTGCAGAAACAGAAGCTGTATGGGAGAGTGATGCGACGGAAGTCTTTTCTGCAAGCACGCCACAAACGGAGTCGATTGAGGTATGCAAAAGCACATTTGGACAAGCCAACTTCATTTTGGAATAAGGTCCTGTGGACTGATGAAACAAAGATTGAGTGTTTGGTCATAAAAAAAGGCGTTATGCATGGCGGCAGAAAAACACAGCGTTCCAAGAAAAACACTTCCTACCCACTGTGAAATTTGGTGGAGGTTCCATCATGCTTTGGGGCTGTGTGGCCAATGCTGCTGGGAATATTGTTAAAGTTGAGTTTTGCATGGATTCCACTCAATATCAACAGATTCTTGAGACTAATGTTCAAGAATCAGTTATGAAGTTGAAGCTACGCCGGGGATGGATATTTCAGCAAGACAATGATCCAAAACACCGCTCCGAATCTACTTAGGCATTCATGCAGAGGAACAATTACAATGTTCTGGAATGACCATCCCAATCCCCAGACCTGAATATTGTTGAACATCTGTGGGATGATTTGAAGCGGGCTGTCCATGCTCGCGACCATCAAACTTAACTGAACTGGAATTGTTTTGCAAAGAAGAGTGGTCACAAATACCTTCATCCAGGATCCAGGAACTCATTAGAAGCTACCGGAAGCGACTAGAGGCTGTTATTGTTGCAAAAGGAGGATCTACTAAATATTAATGTTGCTTTCTGTTGAGGTGCCCATAGTTTTGCACCTGTCAAATTTTGTGTTTATGTGTACTGCACATTTAGTTTTAGTCCAATAAACCTCATTTCAATATTGAAATGTTACTGTGTCCATAAGTTATTGGTTATATCAAACTGAAATAGTTATTGCAAACATCCAAATATTTAGAGATGAAAATAATTTAGATTAATAGGGGCGCCCAAACTTTTTCATATGACTGTAGAAAGTACATCAGTTGATGAAGAGATTCATTGTGTGCTAATGGTTTCACAGGACAGAAAACATAAAAACTGTGACGTTTCTTTCTCCAGCAGAACTGAATTTAAGGATGTGCTCAGCTTTAAGCCTCAGACATTCAAACTTAAGCTGGATTTCTATGCGCCGTTTTCTACTTTGTATTTGGGAATCCCAAGCTACTCATTCAATAGGAATTTTATTCCAGTAAAATAGTGAAATCGTAAATATAAATGTAACAGAGAAGGAAATGTGACTGTTTTAACTCTTGGCAAGACAACTTAGATTGTTGAAAAGTCTGTTAATCACCCATAAATGACGACACATTTCTAAACACAACTCATAAAAGGTTCAGTTCACCTATTTTCTACCAAGCAAAGAAACTTATTTCCTATTCACAATGTTAATGTTATGAGGTGCGATGAAGGTGGTGAGGAAAAATGCAGCGGACCCAGGTTGCAATGTCATAAATTATGGTTTTAATGCTGATTGGCACACAAATAACTCTAAAAGTCCAGGTTGCTGGTGGCAACTGGTGAACCTCAAAAACAACACACAGACTGGACGGAGGAAAGGACCCGACTAGACGTGACCAGACGGGGACCTGACCAGAAACAAGGGACACAGGTGGGTTTAAATGTGTTTAGCTTTTAAATTGATAAATATTCATTGTTTTGGGGACAGGGAGTCTTTTTTTCCGCTTGCTTCGTTTTGCTTCTTTAGATCAATGCAGAGTTGTATGATTTTTGTTTTATACTGAAAGAAAATGCAGGAATCAATACAATCTAAGCAGCATAAATAGAGGCAACACATCCCACAATCTAGCAGCCAAGCAATTGGATAAAATAACCTTATGCCTTTCAAATGCTCCTCTCTGGTGATTTTTGATTGTTTTTAATGTTGCTCCAGTGTAAGGGGAAACTCTATTTATGACATAGTGATATAAATAAATTGGTGTGAATTCAGGACAAATCAATAATTTGATGAACACATCAGGATGGAGGAAGTATGGGTCGGTTTGGAAGCTAGCAATTTCCAACTTTTGTAAATATCACCGTCTATGATCCCCAATCAGGTTTGTTACGTTCACAGACAAGTTATCTCCACTCCAACAAGAAGAAGCCACCAAGAAACTGGTAAAAACAACTTGGATAAATAACTGAAGTCACTCTGTTCAGTTCTCCCATCCTTCACTGCCGACGTCCGTCATGGCGCCTCCAATGATGAAGTGAAGCAGTTGCAAAGGGTTAATAGTTTCAATCATGCAGAACTGATCTGACTGTTGCTATAGCAACGATCAGAAGCAAGACATTGTCCAGAACTACAGTGAGCTCATTGTAGCTATGACCTCATCAATGACTTAGATCTATGACATAGTTCTATGTCATAGATCTAAGAACCTCTGAGGCTATAAAAACTTGCATCTCAAAACCTCAGTTTTCAGTTGCAATTCTGTTTAGCCATGTCTTTGGATCTGAAAGCGATTGGAACGACATTTTCTTTCCTGTGTCTTTCGGGCTTGGTTATTTGGCCAGCACAGCCATCAGGAAAACATTGAATGTTATCCTGCCAAACCTACAATTTGGAATGCCATCTAAGGATGAGGACCTGGATGTCTTTGATTCCTTCCTCTTCAATCCTTCTCCGGCTGGAGAAGAGAGTGACGAGGATAGACTTCCCTACCAGGAAGAGTGGCCGGATGATTTTAACGCTTTCTCTTCAATCCTTCTCCGGCTGGAGAGGATTGCTCAGAGGATAATCTTCCCTCTGCACAATTGATGGATGATTATGATGTGATAGATGCCTATCTTTTCAGGCCTCCTCCACCTGCGACGCAAACTTCTCCGGCTGGAGAAGTTTGCGTCGCTTCAACCAAAGATGAAGCGAAAATCATCAGTGTAGAAAAGCTGGAAGAGCCGACCTCTTCAAGAAAAGATGAAGTGATAGACATCAGTGTGGAAGAGACTCCTCAGCCAGGAGTCTCTGAACTAAACAAGGAAAAGCCGGAAGAGCCGACGTCTTCAACAAAAGAGGACGTAAAAGACATCGGCGTGGAAGAGACTCCTCAGCCAGGAGTCTCTGAACTAAACAAAGAAAAGCCGGAAGAGCCGACATCTTCAACAAAGGAGGACGTAAAAGACATCGATGTGGAAGATGTAAACAAAAGAGAAGCCTAAAGAGCAGAAAGCTTCTCCTCCATCAAAAAGAGCCCTAGAAGATTGGACTCCAAAAGATTCTTTTAGTTTTCTTCCAAAACAAACTTCCCCGGCTGGGGAAGCTTTGAAGATTAGGAGGTTTTCACCTCTACCTCCCCCACCACCTGTGGAAATTTGGGATGATAAGAAGGCAGTGAAGAGAAGTAAGAAGGCATGTTGTCGATTATCTTGACTGCCTGATTTTAAGTATGTAGCATCTTGTTTTTTCACTTTTCATTTTGATGAAAAGTGAAAAAACTTGCGAAACAGAGGTCTTGGGTTTGAATCCTGGCCTGGGTTCAAACCCAAGACCTCTTGATCTCCATGAGCATGAGTGGGTTCTCTCCGGGTACTCCGGCTTCCTCCCACAGTATAAAAAGATTTTTTAGATAAAAAGTGCGTACATTGGGTTATGCCTTTGTGATTTCTGGGCTGTTCTCATTCTGTCTAGTTTCTAGTTGAAGTGTCACTTTGTGTCTGATGAATAAAACTTCAATCCAGCTGAGTTTACCAGTTAGTAAATGATTGCAAACACACATAAATTAGCCATTTCCTGAAAGAAGAATGTCTCAGACAAATTGTTTAATCCCCCAAAATCAACATTACTTTGAGTTTGGTGATGAGGAAATGCAAACTGAGGGGATGAAATCCCAATCATCAATTCATTTTTAAAAAGCAAACCTTCCATCTTCCTTGAGCATTACTGCAGACTGTAAGAAAAGCATAGACCAATCGCCACACGTTTTCCATAATCCACCAAATGGTTCATAAATTAGTTAAATTGATTTGCTATGACAGCAGACAGATGTGTCAGTTATTTTTCACACTCACTGATCTTTATCCAAAACACAAAATGAGTCCAGAAATGGGAAATTAGCTGCAATACTCTCAAAGTCTTCTTGTGATATATAGCCATCGTGGTCATAGTCATAATTTCTGAAAACAGACTGTTAGAAGGAAAACAAGTAATTAATATCATATGACATTATGTAGCATCATGCAATATCAATTATCTTTGCTTTTGTTTGAAGGCATTATTAAAAATGGGAAGGTTTACTCACTTCTACTAGTTTGCGAATGTGCTTACTGACCACAGAAGGATCTGGTTTGGTGGTCACCCCAGAGGCCCAGTCCAGTGGGGCCAAAGGTTTGTTGGGAGTAGTTGGAGATATAGGCTGAGGATACAGAGTCAGTATAATTTCATTCATCTCATAATATTTAAAATATAAGTTTATGTTCCACCTATATTTTGACAATTTATCTTTGGTTATAATTCCAAGTGTCAGGTGGCTCGTCCTTGAGGACTTGGAGTTTTACAACCACTAATCTATAACTCCTTTCTGATGTTTTCTATAAGACTCGAGTTCTCTAGTGCTCCAAAATGCTCATATCACTTAGTTATAAAACATATTGGTAAAATTTAAACATTGCCAATAACCTAAATATGAGGAAATTCGCAGACTGAACATGCATGTTGACAATAGACCAGAGATAATCAGGAACAACTGTTTAAATATGAATATGGATATAAAACCTTCTTTGGCAGCTGCTCACTGAGACTTGAGCCCCACTAAACTGGCCTCATCCCACCATAACAGCCAGACTTTTACCAGCATGTGGTGTGTTTCATGCAGAATCGTAGCTTGAATAGAACTTTACCTGCGATTTTGGGTTACGTGGTTCCCTTAGCAACGACAGCTCATAAATCTCATCTTCTGTGTAATAAAGGTCAAGAGAAAGCTGAAAAATATGAGCGTTCAGTAAAAGTCATAAAACAATCACAATGATGGCCAAACCCCAACACGGAGGCTTAATGAATTACAGACAGAGCTGGTAGATATAAGAACATCATGATGCTTTTGAGGCAACTTTGAACTGAGACCAACTATCATTTCTGGTGTTAGATTCCATTTCTAAAGTCAATCATCTCGGATGAAGCTTACTGTGAAACCTATGTTCTCTATGTGCTATATAAAATTAAGAGGTCTGAAGCAAAGAGCTGCCCTCACCGTCAGAAGGTAAATGAGGTCCATGTTGGGCTCCACTTGGGATACCACACTCTGTAGTGACACCAGCTCATTGAACGTCATGTACAGCTGATGCATCTTCACCAGGTTCACCATGGTGCCGTCACCCACCCAGTCAGGAAAGACGACGTGCACCGCGATCAGATCCTTCAGGTGAACGCCCAGGATGGGGATTTTGAACCCTCTGCAGTCATTGAAGGCCTTTCTGTAGTTGGAGTAGTTGTTGTTGGAAGAGACCAGCTCTGTCATCTCGCTCCAAATCTGGGACAGCAATAGGAAAACAGTATCATGTAATGAATAAGTCACAGTCGTTTCTGTGGCAGATCATGTGATATAGATGGGTAAAAAGATAGACCAGTTGCAGACGGGGCTCAAATTTTCTTTTGTTAATGTAAGTGAAGACATCGGTGTGAGGAATAGCACAGCATGGCCCGTGTTCAGTACCTTCAGAACTTCTGGCGCCAGGTAGGCCTGGGTTTCTTTTAGTCGAGAAATGGAGCTGTGGCTCAGGCCTCCCACCACCGCCATCAGAGTGTTGAAGTTCTGAAGATGCAGCAGTTTCTGAGAAAACAGAGGGGAGTGGTAAGATGAACATTGTTCATCAGAGATCAGCCAGTGCCATGGTCTGTAATAAAACTCTGAAAAAGATGATCCTGCTCATCTGCTTCTCTTAGCCCAAAGTCTCATGTTGACTTGGTGTGGCAGAGATTCTGTTGGTTGTTTCAAAATATTTATCACAATCAACCAAATTGGCTGGAAATGTTTATCAGTGACAGCTGGTTTATTTTAGTGACAGAAGAACCTTATTAAGTGCACAAGTTTCATGGTGCATTCAGGTACAGTTTGTAAATAGTTTCCCTTTCATTAAACATGATCTAATACCCACTGGGCTCTTTTCAAGACAGTTCAATAAATGAAATTATGAAAAATGCCAAAAGTGTCAGTTTCTTGCTTCCATAAAATGTGCTAAATAATATAATCATGTTATCAGAAATCATCACCACATTATGCAGTAGTTAGTTGCTACTTCAAACGTGTTTTTATTCTTGCGTCTCTGGATATAACCTTCCTCTGTTTATATTGCAAAGTTTTGAAATAAACAGACAGAAAATCAGCAGCTATTCCTTCTTGTTTTTGAAACGGGTGTTAAATGCAGTTCGTATTTGTGAACAGCCTGTTGTAGGAGTTACCTGAGCCACGTGGATGTATTTGGCGATGACCTCAGCTCGGGTCTGAGGTGTGAGTTTGCTGAGCACCATCAGCTGGACCCACTGTGAGATGCCGTTGAAGAGAGCGATGGAGCGCTCCAGAGTTGGATTTCCACAAGACAACCATGGATCACGTAGCTCTGATAGTCGGTGAACTGCAGACGAATTTTCATAGATGCTATGCAATGTAGTTTAGCTCTATTTGGATTTTAATGTTACAGTCAGTTAAATAAAAGACACAACCAGCTGCTTACTGTAAAATTTTATGCAGGAAGATTAAAAAAAAAAAAAAAAAACTGGATTTAGCTGAAAATGGAGGAAGCAAAAAAAAACTTATAGGTAAAAAAAAAAAGGTAATTTATTTCCTTGAATTTTAGACAACAGCATTTCTTTGATGTAGCAACAATTATTAATTAGTGAGAGAATTTGATTGTCATTTTTTAATTACATTTCTGTAATATGAACACCAAATAGGACTGAAAGGACAGTGAACTTAATCCACAAACAGTTGTAATGATAGTAGAATCCCTCAGATCATAATAAAACATTCTGTTCTGTGGTAATTCAAACCTAACCTCAAATGGAAAGGATGTTATTTTTATTTTATTTATTTATTTTTATTATTGCTCACCCTCCAGCACCATGCTGCACTGTAAAAGATGTTTATGCTGCAGCTTATGATGCTTTTGGTTTTCTTTTTGCTTTGCAGCCAGACATTTATTTTTCATTTCCAACGACTCTGGGCAACCCTGCCAAACAAGCCATGTTTGTCTGATCTTTTTTGTAACTGTCCAGTCGTGACTTCGATATGTAACAAAGGCCTGTCAGTTCTCAGAGCCTTTATGTGTTTTTTTTTTTTTTTTGTAATTGTCAGAGCATTTCACGCTCCAGTCTCATGGCTTCTGGGAGCTGTCCTGAACATTTCTTCCCAGTCAATAATCCATTTCTGTGGGACGATGGGCTTAAATGGTTTGGAAGATGTCTAATGAACTACAATGGGTGCTTTTCCTAAAATCATTGCTGATGTCCTGCTTGCCCCAGAGCAGCAACCCTCCTGCTGCTGGAGAGTTGTCTTTTCAAAAATAATGAGGCTTCCAGTCTTTAACTATATTTGGGCTCACAGTCCCATCTGCATCCCAACAGTTTCTTTGCTGAAAATACATTTTTGTCCTGACATGTGTCACTTCCTGGTTCTGTCAGTGCACACAGCTGTAGAGCTGGTCCCGTCACCCCAGGCTGCAGTGCTGTTAAAATAGCAGGATCCATTCAAACAGAGGGTCCTGAACACATGTCCTCACATATATTTTTATTTTCATTTTATAAAGACAAAAACACCCAATGAGATTATGAACCTATTTTTAGAACAAGACTAGTGTCTGAATTCAGGCTCACCGGTCTTCTACTCCTTAAACAGACATCAAAACATTCAGAGCTTAAATCTATACATGAACATAAAATGGATACAAAATAAAAGGGAACCAAAAAATTTAGAAAATATAAATTAAAACTAAGTAAAAAAATTAAACGACCAAAAAACCATATCACAGGCCATATTATAAGGATGAATGTTAAGATTCATTATAAGGATGAATGTTAAGATAATGGAAATGCAACTTGCAACTTAGATGCAAGTTGCATTTCCATTACAAATATACACACATTTTTGTCAATTTTCTGCTAATTACAAAAAAAAAGACAATTTTGCAGTTGCAGTGTTTCTATTAAATAGTGAATTAAATTAAAATCACACATAAATAAGCTTGTTTAGATAAAGAGTCATTAAAATTGATGGTCTTTTTCATTATGGTTTGTGGCAACATCCGGCTGCTGATGTTACCAGTGGCAAGTGTTTCCGTTGCAGTTTTGCAAAATAAGCCAATTTCAATACGGCCAAAAAAAAACCCCTAAACAAAATCACATCGTATCGCCTAAGTTTTTCTTGATGTGTTTACATTGAGCAAATTTATTTTCTAAATGTCAAATTCTGTGTCAGTGGAAACACAGCGATGGTGAGGACGATGGACCTCTGTACCCAAAGTGGAAACAGATTCCATTAGAGAAGCATGCCACTAACTTCATGTTAGTATTTGATTTTTCTTTATTCTGTAAAAAAAAAAGTGCTTGTTATCACTTGCATTCTTAATTTAAGATAACACCAGGACCAATGTCTCGTTTAATACCCTGGATCTTAAAAGGTGTTTATGTCTGAACACCTAAAACTAAATATAATCTTTCTGATTGACTGAGTAACGGTGGGAACAAACCATGCAAACAACTACAAACCAATGGGGCTAGCTGTTTTATTGAAGTGGTTCAGTGGTTACGGGTTGATCACACAACAGATGTTTGGCTACTGAGTTCAAACCAACATTTCATAGATTCCTGTTTGTGCTCTTGATATTTGGAAAGCACTTTCAATCCATCCTGAACATAGGCTCTTAAATGCACATTCATTTCAATGAAATAATCACTTCTATTATGCATCATAATACAAATAAACCACAACATATAATCTGTTGCTTACAGAACTGACCTACGTTGAGGTCAAGGTCAGCTGAAATGCATTAGGCTTGTCTCTATAAAGTGCATATATCATCATCGCTCTGACACAACCAAGAAACCTAGCATTTCTAGGACATAAATCATGGATTTCAAAGTGGCTTAGTCACTTTAAAACCGACTTTTCAGATAAAAATATAGTTGTTTGGGTGATTACTTCCTTTTTAAAACAGAAAGTTATTACCATTTATGAAGGATGCCAGGTCTGTTGCAGCACCTTAAAGCCTGTCTGTCTCTGTGGCTGTAAATAGACAAATTATTTTCTCAAATCTATAAAAGACCTTTCTGATGAGAATATGTCAAATGTGCTGCACTTTCACTACAAAGACCCTCTCTGAACGGAAATGAGATGGTATACAACCTCCTCAACACTTGCTAATGTCACGTCTGCACACACATGAGCAATAACGCGAATTAAGAACTGGAGCCGAGATCACAACATCAACATGAATGAAGTCACAATTGTAAAGTTGAATTAGAATTTATTTCTCATGCAGCTATTTACCTCTTTGGTGAATTACAGGCAGAAGGAGCTCACCATAAAGTGCTTTAAAATCCCTCCACAGAGTGCCAGTTTGTTAGGTTTCTAAGCCACTGCCACCTCTTGACTTGGATAATCATCATATTAATCTTAATTTTATGAACTCATTTCAGGTGGAGGCTCAGGAATCACTTCTTCTCTGTTGGGTGGACGTTGTGTTTTACACGCTTGTTCAACTTTCACCTGCCTCTATTCTCTCTTCTTATGCTGATGTTTTTCCACATGTCTCTTTTGAGCAACAACTCTGAACAGAATTGAAAAGTAAAGGTTGTACCATAGCACATATGCTTTCAGAAACTGATTTCTTTTAAAGTAAATATTTTTTGACATCCTGTAAAATGTACACATTTGTAATTATTTTATTTCACACACTCACGTATGTCTTTCTTTTACTTTTGAAATATGTGTGTAATATTGATACAGTGGAATAGCATTCCACATATTTCACTACCATATACCATAGGCTTGATTTCAGAACTTTATGAATAAAGAGACGAACAGAAATGATCATCTGTTCTCTGAACGAGCCTCACAGCGGCTCACTTCCTCTCGTCTCAGACTCGGCTCCGCCGCGTCAGAAAACTCAACATGTGTGTCAGGAAAATATTTCAAGAACCTCACAGAAGATTCCTAGAAAAACAGGAAGCGAAATGTGCATAACAGTTGGTCCTTGTCTCCCATTGTGACAACACACATCATGCTAGCACTAAAATATATTACTTATTACAAAATAAGTGACACTTTAGAGTCCAGTTTGATATTTAGTAGCATCTGTGCTGTCTGGATGACATATTATCAAATCTACACACATTCATAGAGCCGATGAAAGCCCGTGTTGCTGCTGCTTTAGCTGCTGTCACTGAGAAGGGTCAGTATGGAGCCGGCCTGCGCTGCCAGTTTGCTGCTGCTGTCGTCTGTCAGTTTGTTCAGGCTCTCCTTAATATTCACAGAGTTGAGTTCATCTGTCATCACACCTGTAGCACAAAATCATACAGTGTTGATCATGATTTCGAACAAACTAAACAGAGCATAAGCAAGTGCAGGACCAGCTCAGCAGATGCAAATGCTATCAATATAATTTCTTTGTGATGCTCAACATGTTGAACTATGTTTTTTAAAGAACAGTTTTTCATTTTTGACAAGTCTAGGTTTTGTTGAGCGGCTATGAGTCATTAGTTTCTGACAGTTTTCTTTATTGACCTCTGTTTTGTTAAAGAGCCAAAAACAGGTTCAGGTCCAAAGCAGGTTTTTCCTACATTAGGACGACTCATAAACATTTAATTATAATTACATGGTTATTTATATAGAAGATTATAATTACTAAAAGATAGTTTGTACTCAAAAACATTTTTATGAAAACATGTACATTATTAAACCTCATTGGCAACAGAGTACAGTACAAATAAGTTAAGACTGTATGGAAATACTGTAATGCAAACATGACAATACTTCATTCATAATGGGTGAAAAAGTATTTTAATGTAGTTTGAATGTACATCATAAATAGTTTACTGTCCTTGCACTGTCCTAGTTACCTGCTGGTATTTTTAAAATCAGTTTGAACCTTGAACTGGAAGATAAAGATGCAAAAACATGACAGTAAACCTCTCAGCTGGTTGAGTCCGGTTTCACCAAACAGAGCATCAGCAATGCTCTGTTGTAATAACAGTTTGAAATTTGGCTTTGGAGAATGAAAAGTGTTGTAAAAGCAAAAACTTACCGGAGTTAGCCAAGGTGCAGATGAGACCCAGAGCACTAAACTTGACCTCAACCGCCCCCACTGGATCGTCCAACATGTTCTTCAGCATGAGTAGCAGCTCTGCCTCGCTGAATGGATCCCTCGTAGACTCTGGAAGTCGTGAACAGAATCAGATGAGAAAAAGCATTATTCCTGAGATGGTCAGAAATAACTCAGAACCAGAACCATTAACCCTATACTGAACCGAAGCATAGATACAGCCATACACAGCGAGCATTAGGGGTATTTATTCATAAGCATTATATAAACTCTGAAATAGCTTACCAATGTCAATAGCAGATGCTATTGCCAGGGCGACCAGGGCTTCATTCTGCATGATAACGTGCTCGCTTGTTGCCATAGAGATGAGGTGCCGAACCCCATCCGCTCTAGCCACAGCGCGGACAACTTCCTGTTCCAGAAAGGAAACGAGTCCAACATTCAGAGACAGAGTTTCCCTTAGAAAAGTTCAGCATTATGAATGGAACCAAGTCCAGTCAGAACCAAAGTCCATCCAGAACCAAAGTCCAGTCAGCACCAAAGTCCAGTCAGAATCAAAGTCCAGTCAGCACCAAAGTCCAGTCAGCACCAAAGTCCAGTCAGAATCAAAGTCCAGTCAGCACCAAAGTCCAGTCAGAATCAAAGTCCAGTCAGCACCAAAGTCCAGTCAGAACCAAAGACCTGGTCCAGAAAAGGAAGCTCACAGGACTGCGGCTGTGTCTGATCAGGGCCGCCAGCAGTCGGCTGGCCTCTCCTCGGACGCCTGCATGGTCTTTGGCTTCACACCACTCCATGATCCGGGCCAGCAGCACCGCATCTCTGCCCAGCTTCAAGGCGGCTCCCTCTGAAACACACAACATAAGGTTCAAATTCATCTTAATCTCTTAAATCACACATGACTTAATCATAATTTGACTTTGGATTTTAACACCTTCAAATTGGACCTGTGTCTCTTTAAAGAAATTCTTCACTTTCGAAGGCTCTGCCTTCAGGAAGTCATAACAACATGGCTCCTTTATTAACCCTTTAACAACATTTTTACCAACGTAAAAATGTTGTACACATGAGAAGCAGCAGTTTCTGCTGGCTAGTCTGAAGGACCTGAGGGGGGAATTGAACTGGTCTGTGAGGCAAAAGCTCCGATGTTTGGATACAGCATCTTGTTTCTTCTCTGGTTCAGCTGTTTTCTCAGTCTTTCTCGAGTTTTTGTCTTCTGATGTTCACAGCTGCAATATTCTGACTAACTTTGTTCTTAGTCCCAGATCTGCCCAGAAACAGATGTGTGCAGCCAATAACCTGCAACTTGTTAGAGAGAAAATCTGTTATTTGCAACTAGTATGTGAAACAATCTTTCAAGATAAGTGATCAAATAAAAATATTTCAGTTCCTATGAGAAGTCATTAAAACAACAACAACAAAAAAACAAATGTTACACTTAAAGTGTAACGAGTCCATAAAATTTAATAATATACATCAAGGAGTTTTAGGCTCCTGTTCATGTTGGGCCATATCAAGATCATGAATGACCTTAAAGGGACGGTTATGAAAGACAGTAAAACCCATCAACAAACTCCTGAAATATTAAATAGTTGCCTCAGCATTTGATGAATACTTCTTAAAGTTAAATAATATAACCTGACTCTGTCTAGTTAGAACAGACCAGACTGAACAGACACCTGCTGTGTCTGCTTGCTGTGCTCATTCTTGCAAGAAGCAATAAAGGTCAGTTTGAGTGAAAATCACCAATCTCTGTTTGGTAACTAATCATGAGAGTTTCTTAGGAGAACTTCTTTTTCTCTATTTTAATCCCCCCCCCCCTTATTATGCCTTCAGCTGAAGCTGGTATGAGTGCTATAGAAAACCTAAATGCCCTTTTTAAATCATTGTTGTGTGTTGTACCCAGTGCAGCAGCCCCTCACCCTGCCCGTCCACCATCATGCGTAGCGTGCCCAGCAGCTTGAACTGAACCGGCGGCATGTCGGTGCGCAGCAGAGACTTGATCCTCTCAGTGACTCCGTCCTCCAGCATCCTCACTTTGTTGGAGGCTGGAAGACAGACAAGGTGTGTGTTGGTGTGTGTTGTTGCCTCATCGATGTGTTTGTTTGATACCATGTGTTTGTTCTTTAGCCACTGAAAAAACAGAACTTAGACATGAACTAAATCCCTGGTCAACAGATTCCATCTTGTTTCTCTGCTAAAAGTTTCACATAAGTCCAGGCAGTCTTTATGGCTGCCTGGGTTTCATTGATTCATCCTGGTTAATACATTCTGCTCTGTATGTATGACCTATGACCTCCCCTTCTACTCCACCCAATATCGTCACTGACCTTATCATTGTATGTATAGAAGTGATGCTTGTTCTTTTTCTGATCAGTTTA